CATTTACCGTTCGTGTTCGTTTGTTTGTTCGGTTAAGCTAAATGAACGAACATGAACAAGTCTCTGTTCGTGTTCGTTCGGTTCGTTTACAGCCCTACATAAACTTGACAATATATATACACCCATATACATATCAATACATGTTTTAGTTTAAGATCCGTAAGTTTTTCAACTGATTTCAATTATTATGACTTCTAATATACTAGACACGCTAATGACTTTGTTCTGTATATCAAATTAGGAACTACGATTATACAAAGAAAATGTCAATTATTTTGACTGAAGGTGTCAGCTGAGAATATTAACTTCGACCCTATATATAACATGTGAAATGGGTACTTTTAAAATTACTTGAAACAGGTAAAGAGTAAATAGGTTGGTTGAGTTAGGTAAACTGTTTGAACCTAAATATACAAATGTTTACTGACTATTTGACCACATGACATTAAATGTATCGTGCACATAAATATATTGTTCACTCATAAAATTCAAGTTTACAGTTTTTTTTTTTTTTGTTGTAATTCTACAACTTTTACGGCTATGTTATTATATGCTACAAACATTTATAATTTTGGTACATAGTAAATAAATAGTTATTTATATCCTAACTGTTTATACGATATCTAAATGTTATCTGAAACATGCCCATTAATCCAAAAATACGTAATTATTTATGAATAGATATATAAAGTTTATATTTATTTCTTTTGATTAAATGAAATGTCTTTTTTTTTTTACCGGCAAAGAAAAACGAAATATTATAAAAAGACTAGCAAGACGCTAGCAAAGAGAGTAATAAATCACCAACCACATACCTCTACAACATTATTTATCAACTTACTCAACCTTCCACTTTGAGTACCATCTTTGTCTAATACATATTATTGTTTATTCACTTACATGTTCTTTTAGGGTGTATGTATATAAAAAGACTACGGAGAAAGCAAAGAATACGTATTCCAATTACGATGAAAGAGACCGATATAAGGATATGAATGTGTTGAAGAACTTCCCTCGTAATTGGATCTCTCCACATGTGTGGATGCAGATGGTTGATATTTGGAACAATGATCGTTGTTATTTGACCTTTGAGACACAAGCAAAACGTCGTGCTACCGACCATTGTGAAACTGTTTGATTACACACATAAGAAGAGGTCGAGTAGAGGCGACATGTCTATGGATTATGAGGGGTGTGTGACCTCTATGTGTAGTCGGGTCGTGGTGAATATCTATCTACTTTAATGTTTATAATTGGGTAATTATCTATCTAGTTTTGGTCGCCATTAATTGTTGGGCAAACATTTAAATTGATTAAGTTAAAATCTTAGTACAAGTCTAAAGAGTCATTCTTCAGAGTAATTTCCGAAGTACAAGTCTAAAGAGTCATTCTTTAGAGTTAGCTCACCCGAATTCTGAAGTCTTCTTTTTTCATACAGAGCACCATGCAGAGTCTTTGCATAGTGCATGCAGAGCTTCTGACTTGTCTGTACAGAGCTCTGAAATCTGAAGAGTTTTACTTCAAAGATATTTCAAGAGTACAAGTATGAAGTCATTTTTAGAGTTATACTTCATAGTTATTTAAATAGTACAAGTCTGAAGTCATTCTAAATTTAATTCTAAGTTTAAATTCAATTTACTGATATAGTTTCATTTCTAAATTTAATTTTATTATAGGATTAACTTCATTTTAACTAATTATTGATATAGTTTCATTTCTAAATTCAAGTCTGAAGAGTTATTTTTTAGAGTTATTCGTTAGAGTTATTTCAAGAGTACAAGTCTGAAGTAACATCATACTTTCAATGATCATTTATATTTGTAAGATAAGTTCCTGACATGATTTAATTTTTTCAAATTACTTCGCGTAATACACGAGAGCGAACCTAGTGAATTAATAAAAATGTAACTTAATTATTTATAAAAAAGAAACTTAATTCCGTTCCAAATATTACAAACCAAACACACCAAAGAATCAAATCCTCCCGATATTAAATCTTTCTATGAAATCCAAGTCCCTCAAAAACATTATACTAAAAGAAACGATCTTTTAATGGTTACAAAAGATGTAATTTACCGTAACAACTTTCACATGTCATGCTTGTACCATGGGCGAATATTCCCACGATAATGGAATGGACACATTAACAATCTATGATGATCTTAGTAAACAAACAACGTTGATCCGTCAGTAATCTAGTAGCGGTTTTTCCATCATCGACGACACCAGAGTAATCCATTGATAAACCATCCATATATTTTTTTGGATTACTATGACATTGTGGGCATTCTCTTGCTAATTCATCAGTAAATTATTTTTAAAAAGAACATGTAAATTCTACAAATATTAATTTTAAAAATACATTTTTTATATAAAATATGGGATAATTTATAATTTTAATATTATTTTTAAAGAATTTTAATTTCTTTTCTATTATCAAAAGAAAGTTCTAGAAAACTTAATCATTATTTTCATTGAATAACACGAGTTGTTAACTTTTTTTTTTGTTTTCCTCCCCTTTCTCCCTCCACTTTTTCTCGCAAACGGTAATCTTCAAATTTAGAACCCTAGAAATGATCTCTTTCATCTCCTTTCCTTTCTTCTTCGAGTCAATCCCCATTAGAATTGGTAAGAGGCTCCCTTGACGAGTTCATCTATCGCGTTGCGTTGCGTTGCGTTGCATTGCATTTATATACAGTTATACACACAAGAGAATCATATGCATCATATCTTATCCAGCATTCAAAATTCAGAATGCATCGGAAACCGGTTTGCTCCCAGTGTCCAGGTTTGTTAAATGCTTAACTCGCAGCATTTATACATATTGGTTACCATGTCTATAATCTAGTGTTAATATGCGTGTTAAATCAAGAACGAAATTGGAAGATCAGATAAAAGTGTTATGGATTTCTGAGAACTATGTATTTACTACATTAATTTTGTTGCTCAAATTCATCCACATCAGTATCTAAATGCAGAATATCATCACAATCACTGCTGTTTGTCCACGGAATAAGAACATCAGAGTCTTAAAACTCAAATAATGATTATTTAGGAATAGAGGTTTCAACTTGTTCGTTATAGTATTGGAAATGCATTTAAGGCAAGTCTACAATCTTCTTATGCCTCTCATGATAGCACTCACATCAGAGGCAAATTGGAAGGACACCACCCTTAACCCTCTGCATTTGTTACTTTCTGGATCGAGCTTGGAGGACCAGCCGTCCCAACGACAACGAGAACATACTTCACATCATCAACAGGCATATTGTTGGAGGCCATATTTCAGGGTGCTATTGAGGAAAAATCATACCAACAGCAACTAATCAATCTCATTACGCTAACACGGCTTGCCTCTTTGTTGTCTTTTGTATTGTTCTTACTAGGAATTCTTTGTATTTAGTAGCTCAGCTGGGTCTTTTCAAAAGCTTGGAACTTATTCAAGATTAATTAGAGGTCCTTGGTTCAAATCCTGACTCTTGGGTCTTGTCCTATGGATTAACAACGGTGTCAGTGTGTCAATGTGTGGATGGAGAAAAGTTCATCCTCTGGCATGTGGTTTGAGAGATTTTTTGATATTTGAATTGTTATTGATTGCTCAACTGAACACATGCCTTTTCTTCCCACATATTTGCTTTAGGATGGTCAAATGATCAAATATTGTATTGGGTTATGGGATGCATTTTAAGGAATGTAGTGTCCTTGAGAGAGCCTTTGATTTAGTTGGTTAATGTAGAACTACCATATAAGCCATGTAGCACGTATCATGCTCCATGTATATTCATCTATCAACCATAGACAGATGATTTGCCATCATATTGGAAAAGTTGGATTTGAACCCATTCTGGTTGCTCTAGAGTTGGCAAGCATGCCCGCTAATTTATGAAGCGAGTGGCCCTGAGTATACGTTTGTATTGTGGAAACTCTCATATGTTTGACGTGTGGCCTTAAATATCCAATAGTGCACTGTGTTCTGTAGATTTGTACCTCTTATGTGATTATGTTAATCTAACCTTTCTGTAGATATTACAGTGGTAGGGGAGTCTTGTTCACGGAACTATTTGTTAGAGTCATTTTACAATATACTTGAGTGCTAGTTGCCGATACTTTCCAATTCTAAGCTGGATAATATATGTGCCAAGAATAGAAGTATGTATTATGTATACAGATCATGCAACTCTTTTAGGTCAGATTGATGGGCATGTGAGCCTAAGCAGCCTGTAACCGTTCTAACTTTTTTTGTCTTCATTGATTACTGTATAAGATTGATTATCTTGTCGATTGATTCAGAGACTGCCTTGAACTTGATCAATCACTTGAATGGCCATCCAGTTTTCAGTCTCATGTCTTATGTAAATTCTTGTAGTGGATTAATCGTTTTTTCTGGAGCCTGCAGACGGTCACCACACATGTCCAGTTTTGGTTTCTAGTTCAGTACTGCCTGATGTACAAGATTCTTATTCCAAGTCATTGTAATGGAGAATTATTAGCATGCCTCTTTGAGCAAAAAGCTATATATTGCAGTAGATAGTAGAACCACAAATTTAACAAATTCCTCTCTCAATTAGTAATTAGCTATAGGGGAGTAGTTACATGTAACATATCACATACAAATAACGTATTGAAATGGTGGGAATGTAAGATCTATCGTCACCTGCAACATATGATTATCAACCAAGAGATGATGTTCATAAATAATTATTGGAAATAATACAACTTAAAGAACTTCTTGGCTGCATTCCTTTTGTTGGTCAAACACTCCTTTCAAATTTTCAAACTTGTAGCTTGTGTCTGTTTTGACCATAGTACCATTCAGTTTGCTCTACACTTGCAGAGGAAATATCCACACACATTTGACTCCTTTTGAATCAGAGCTAGACGGATAACAGAACTTCTACTGTTATTCAATGAAAAAGGTGGGGGATGCTCAACTCCAAGTTGGCTTTATTTAGTTCAGTTTAATTGAGCTGGTTGTGAATTAGGCAGAACAAACAAGTCCCTTTATGAAGATAAAACGCTAAGAGAATATATTGCCAAATAGTTGAAGGTAAAGCAAAAAGAGGGTTACATGATCTGAGAATGAATCAACACTTAACACTGCTTTTTGGGATAAGCATCTTTTATTGTTGCACCTCTAGTTTTTATCCCTGTCTCTAACAACATGGTTTATAGTGGTGACAGCCATGTGATTACAATTGGGCTTCTTACTCTGTGTACACCATCTTTCCATATCAAAGCTCCAGATTCTGGTGCTGTTTGCCTAATCTTTGTTGTGAAGGTGACCTTATAAGAGAGCTTTTGATATTTCTTGGTGAAATCTAGAGTCGATGGCTCCACTTTAACATCCACACCTTTGAATTCTGAAAAAACCACATGGTACTTTGAAGTCGGAGGTCCAACGTTAGTCACTGTTCTGTGGATAGTTACAGCAGAAACTCTTTTTTCTTCTGGGAACACAGCCGATAGAGCTGGGTAGTTCAAATCGCTTGGGCCAGAAAGGGAATGCTGGCAGGTTCTATTGGAGAACTTGGCAAAAACCACCAACTGGGTGCGGGTTAAACCCTGTGTGCACAGAAAGTCAAAGTAATCCTGTGCTCCAATATCGTAAATCAGACCAGGGTCAAGGGCTCTAGATGGGTTAATGTGTCCTGCACCATGGTCATATGGGCTAGATGGTCCACCAGTCGAAGAATCTTTCAGAGGTTGATAGGCGTTATCATGGATATATGCTGTTGTCATCAATGCTGATTTTATAGCAGCAGGACTCCAATCTGGATGTCTTGCTTTCAGTAATGCAGCAACACCACTCACATGAGGACAAGACATGGAAGTGCCTGAAAGTATATTGAACTCTACTCTACGTCGATCAGTCTCTAGACTCGATGGACCCATATCACCCGTCCAAGCAGCAAGTATATTGACTCCCGGAGCCACCAGATCCGGCTTCAGAATCTCCAAGGAGATGAAATTAGGTCCTCTGGATGAAAAAGCAGCCACCACTGGAGACGGTTTAATACCAACTTTGGTCCCGTAAAATGCAAGATTCGCAGAGGGATTTCGATCTCTCATTGCATATTGCTTGATTGCTTTTCCCTCTTTTTCCCCTACAGCTACTGCCGGAAGAAGGTGGCAATCTGCCACCAGTTCCTCTCCATTGGCAGCGGTGTTGGACAAAATCATCCCTATGCCACCTGCTTCTTTTACCACTTGACCCTTCTGAACTCGAGGACTAATCCCACGGTCGCATATCACAATCTTTCCTGCAACCACATGTGGGTCCAGTGTTCCCTCCAAGCACAGCGAACCTGGGTCAGGGCTGCTTGAATTACTCCCGGTATAAACCAGAGGATACAACATTTTGGGTGTTAGATTTCTTCTTCCTTTATAAAGAGAAACCCCTTTCAGCATCACCCCAGATCCCAGCTTCACAGAACCTGGAAAATCTCGGTCCATGGTGCTTGCACCAACTGTAGTAATCCATGGCGAAACATTAGTCAGGCTGACTGGATCAGGCCCACCGTTTCCTGCAGAGCACGAAATGAGAACCCCTTTCTCCATGGCTCCAAAAGCCGCTATTGACAAACTGTCACGATGGTATGATGAAACTCCACCACCTAAAGATATAGACATGACATTGACTCCGTCTGCCACCGCCGTGTCAACGGCGGAGAGAATATCAGAGCTAAAGCAACCACCAGTCCAACAAACTTTATAAGCTGCAATTCTTGCCCCAGGAGACATTCCTCTGGCTGTACCATAAGCATAGCCCAAAAGATTGGCTCCATGCACCGGAGAACCTGCAACCGTGGCTGCCGTGTGCGTCCCATGACCGTCTTGATCTCTAGGAGACTTGTACTCTTTCTCCTCATTGATATTCCCAGTGGCAGCTTCATAGCCATGGTAAAATGCTCTAGCACCGACAATCTTTTTATTACAATGGTGCTTTCCAAAACCCCGGCCGACTTCACATTTGCCTTTCCAGTGGGTCGGAACGGAGGTAAAACCTGTGTCATTGAAGCTTGGGCTCTCCGGCCAGATTCCGGTGTCCAGCACACCGACGACAACATCGTGGTCAGTCAGTTTGTCAGACCAGACGCTCGTACTATCTTCCGGCACCAGCCCAAGAAACGAGGGACTTCTTGTCGTATGCAGCTCATATTTAACCTCGGGAAGTACGCTAACCACACCATTTTGATCTTCGAGCCTTTCTGCTTCTTCCTGGCTCAGCCATGCCGCCATACCGTGAAAAGCCGACTGGTATGTATAAATAACTCTTTGATCTTCTTCTTCTTCATTGATGCCATCGGGTGAAACTGCTACTGATCTTACGAGTGATGAGTACCACTCAAAATGGTCAGTGAAGGTTGTAGGTTTAACAGCGATGTCCATATGGACAATATAAGTTTTCTTGGATACGCCATTGTTGGTGGATGAGAGAGCAAGGTTGATGGTCAGACAGCTTGATAGATACAGACATAGCCACCATTTTACAGGAATCCTACCCATTTCTTGAAATTAAAAGTTCTGATCTGAGTAGTGTTGGGAAGGAGGAAATGAAGAAGATGAGTGGAAGAAGAAAGGCAAATGGAGTGATTTTATTAGAAGCGGTGTGTGTAGGAGAGAGAGAGAGAGAGAGAGAGAGAGAGAGAGAGAGGGCCTGGTGTGTCATCTTGTGCAGGTAATAAAAGTGGTAGTTGAATAATAATGGCGGTTGATATTTGGGAGATGGACTTGGCTGGTGATAAGGATTTAACGAGTCGTTACCTCTTTGAGGGTTTTCATCTTCTTATCTGTCATAGTACTACTGGTTCACCGCAAAAATCACACAAACAGCCCTTGAATAGATTAAATTTACCTCTTCATCATTTTTCTTCTCAAGTTTTTTTTTTTTTAAAAATCGCCATCCTCGTGATTAACAACTCCTCAACTACAAAAAATTGATTTAATGTTATCAATGTCGTATGGGGCACCTTCACAAGTGATGTGTGCTCAGCAAGTGAGTAAACATGCATCTTTCCAATGACGTGCGCTCTGCAAGTGCCCACTAGCAACTTTTTTTTTTTTTCCTTTTGAAGTTTGTTCTTATACTTTATAAGTTGAGGAGTCGTTACTTACAGAGTGATAACATTTAGATAAAACCGGAAAAAAAAAATGGCAAATCAACACCAAGAAAATGATGATGAGCCAGAGCCAGAGCCACTGCTTTTAATGTACAACGGTTACTAGTGAGAGGGAGTAACTGCAGCAGTTATTAGTGAATTACTACTACTCTCTCTTACAATATATGTTTTCTAGCTACTCACAAGTATATGCCACAACAACAGTTTACCGTCGGCAATTAATACACACCAAGATTGGCCTTCTTCATCTCTAAATAAGACCCTCTATGTTTTTTTTTCTTTAATAAGTTAAGTAGAAACAAACCAAGTTGGATGTGGGGATATAGAATGTACAAAGGCCTTAACTTTATATTGGAAGACAGATTTTGTAAAAGAACTTCTGCTTAGTTTAAGAGTAATCTGTCTTGTCCTTCTTGCTTTTGCTAACCTAATAGATAATATTTGACCGGAAGACGTAGAGGTACGAGTTGATATGTTCTTATAGTACAAAGTTGTAGGGTGATAAACGAATTGGAATGTATCGAATTTTAATCAAGGCAACTAGTACCCTTTAAGTTTCCAAATTTTACTTGCTTTCCGAATGACCAAAAGAAAATGGGAAGCATGACAGGACGTCTCCATGGGAATATTGTGGCTTGTGGTACTTTTGCTCGCTAGGATTTGATCGTTTGACCATCTACTATGATGAGTGGCTTTGAACCGAATATATAGCTCAAACCCAGACTCCAACTATTATTTGAGCCCATAAAATGTCAAGACTAAGGGGTGTTTGAAATTGCTTATTTAAAGAGTTTATCGACTTATTCCGTTGTGGTACCGGTAATAAGCAATTTTTAATGTTTGGATGGAAAGAAAAGAAAATGCTTATACTGGTTTGGCAGCGGTAATAAGGAGTTTTTGATAAGTTACTTCATTCTAACTTGTCGGAAACAACTTACATTTTTATCCTTTTCTTTTAACTCTGGAGGATTTGGGTTTGGCGTTGAGGAGAAAATATTCAACCTAACCAACATCGTCATTTCTAACAATGTTATTGCTGCCATAACCAAAAGGTGAAGGTGGGCCAGTTTTTTGTTTCACTGAAAGAGAAGAGAAGAATTTAATGGCTTTTGATTCGAGTTTATTGATGAATTTGGTAGGAATTTCATGATTAACGACCTTAAAAAATCCAAAATCTTGACAAGCTTTGACAAGGTGTTATGATTTGGGTTTCGAGAGGTCAATGAGGGGAATTGTAGGAGGGGATAGTCAAAGGGTTGACTGGTTTGCAGGTTTTGACGAAGAACTGTTTGATTGTGGGATTAGAGAGAGCCACCATTGTTGAGTTGAAAATTTGCAGAGAAAAAAGATGAAGGAAGCATAACATTTCAATGGTGGATTGGTTGGATATTTGTAGGAGAGGGAGAAATACATGTTGTATGCAAGAAAGAAAGAAGTGAGGAAGGGGTTTTTTTTTTTTGAAAAAATATCTTTTTTTGGTACTGTAATAAGTTAATCTAAATATTTTTTATAAAACTCTTATTTGATACCACATAATTTGATAAACACTTTTACAAAAAAATTAAGTTGTTTTAAATAGGGAAAAGTACAATAAAAATCAATGGACTTTCTTGTTTGGAATGATTAAGTCCTTAGACTTTTTTTGAAACAAATAAGTCCTTGGACATTCCAAAACATGTTAAATAAGTCATTGGACATTCCAAAATATGTTAAATAAGTCTTTGGACAATTTTTGGAACAAATAAGTTCTTGGATATTCCAAAAAATATTAAATAACTCCTTGGACAATTTTTGGAACAAATAAGTCCTTGAATCCGGAAAAAAACCCAATGAACATTCATATTTTGAACGATTAAGCCCTTAAATATTTTTTGAACCAAAAAGTATTTAGATCCATAAAATTAAACAAATATAACAAAAAAATATTTACATTTACAAAAAAATAATTATATTTAAAAAAGATTTTTGATAAAGTTTATTTTAATTAAAATTAAAATATATTCTGTCAGTGATT